TATACAACCACACTAAAGCATCGTGGTGTTCGTCATGGTCGCACACACACCAATGAGAAACCCTTCCAGTGCCGAGTGTGCAAGAAGAGATTCTCACGAACAGATGTTCTGAAGAAACATATGAAAAGGCATGTGGCTTATTCCTTCTGATTCATATCATGAACATTTTTGTACTATAAAATTCCTACATTTTGTGATACCAACTCTGACTTTTGTACATTTTGTATTGAATCATGTTTTTTCAATGAATGTGGAGTCTTCTAAACTTACCAGCAGACCTCATCATACAACCGTACCATTCAAATATAACTATCCAATTTAATTATAAATAATTTTATTTGCTGTGGATGCAGGTGGTATACTCTTGGATTGCTGCATCAATAACTTCATTTCATTTTTATCACAGAGGATGCCCTCTTTTGCGAGATACTCCTGGTGCAGAGGGGCAATAATCGACAACTCAACCACTGCCTCTATTACTTCTCTTCATGTGAGAACTATTGCATTTCATATTGTATGCACTCCAGTGAATCGCTTTTAACAAGGATGAGAGGGACTCAGTGTTTTCATCATCACTTCATATCCAAAAACTTTTATCATTGACATGTTTGATCTTCATTCAAATAAAGACATTTTGTTATATCTCTTACCCGCTGTTCATCATTGTCACAACTGCTGTGCTGATGGTCAACTTGTACATATTCTGTGCCAGTCACAAGACACTGAGACATGCAAGAGACTTGATTTCATGTATATAATCTTGGGATTGATTTGTCTTGGGATGCAATCAAGCTGATCTTCCAACCCTGAACCCCCAACCTTCCCATCTCTCATAGATGATGCACCCTGTGAACACCTACCTCTGGTGCGGACGGACGATGGGAAACCGGAAGGTGTATTTCTGCGCCGTCTGCCCTCACGTGTCCTCGCACAAGCACAACAGCATCCGGCATAGTCAGAGTCACTCCAAAGACAAGCCCTACCACTGCTCGTTTTGCCCAAAGACGTTCACGCAGGACGGAAACCGAAGAGGTCATGAGATCGCTGCACATCAGGATGTGGTGCACAGGGTTTCATCATAATTCATCGAGAGGCAGATGCATGGCGCTGTTCTGTGCATTTCTCCGTGACTTATATGATATTCCATTTATAGTTATGCAAACTTCATTTCCATTTTTATTCCAATGTCTAATTTTCAACATGCAATTCGATTCTGCTACGAGGCACTATAGTACGAACTTTGTTTTTGTCCTATGTAAATGGCCATGCTCAAGCTTAAGGGCATTATTTTATTTATTTGATGTTGCTCTCTATCTGGACCGGTGAAAATTGGAAACCATTCATCTTCCAAAGTCTCCAAATAAAAGGTTTCGCTGAAAATTGTTTCCCCTCATTCTCCGTCCAGTGTTTGATGTCCAATCTGTCTGTCAGTTAGCCTTCTCCGTGTTCGAGGGATTATGTAGTCCGTAGTATATTTCATGGCAATGACTGATTCCTCAATACTACGTTAATCCTCTGGCATTCACTAATTGGAAATTGCATGCAACATTAGATGGTAAAAATCACCTAGGGCTTGGGCTCTAATAAGTGCTGCATTAGTGGCACGATCTCATGACTCCCTTTTCCCGTAGACACTCTGAGAAGACGTCAATGGACTCTCGACATGTAAGCAATTTTTTCTATTTATGGACGAATACATTCACATAAGCGAGAAAGAGAGTCGAAAGTAAAAGCACGTCTCATGCCACATGCATTGTAACGATCTTTTGCTCCCATTTGGTTAGGTGCGCACAATAAATATGCGTGAATTTTCACAATCACTGGAGTAAATGGAAATTATGACAGACTCCTATTTGAAGATGAGCCAGCAGAGTGTAAAACGGGCTCACCTCTCGAATGTGCCATGAATTAAAGTCAGGCCATAAATTAAACGTGGTTCTCATCCACATTCAATCTCCGGCCGTGAAGAATCCGCAAATCTTGCACAGGAAAAGACCTGTAGCCGAATCCAGCGCATTCCATGCGATTTTTTATTTTTTTATTTCCGCATCGACTCGGTCCTGTTTCAAAAGAAAGCAGATAACCTGTCGATTATCAGATCATCTAGCAGCTATGCTTGTTTCGAGGAATCCTGATGGCCTGCATCTTTGAATTTGCTAGCTAAGATCAAATATCCAGAGGTTAATTTTTAAGTCTAGGGCTACTAGGATCCCAAAGGCACCAAACACGAAGCACGCCCTAGTGATAGCATGCAAACACGGTTAAAACATACGAAGGGAAGTGTTGGAACTGATTGGGATAAAATAATCCATCTTTAATATTTGTGCCGGGTTGGTATAGGACAAATGAAGGTGGTTCGTGTCAATTTTATATTGCACCCTGCCTAATTTCTGGAGGGAATTCAAGTATATATATAGTTCTCGTTCGCTGCACTTCGACGCATTTCATCGTCATATAAAAATGTGAAAAAAAAAGAAAAATGTGGTCCGCCGTGTGACATCCCTTGCAGACGGTGACCCGCGTGGACAGCTTCCTCTGGTCCGGGAAGACGGGGCAGAAGCGGAAGCTCCACTTCTGCTCCGTCTGCGCCTTCGCGTCGAGCCACAAGCACGATTCCATCAAGCACAGCAGGACCCACAGCAAGGAGAGGCCGTATCGGTGCTCTGCGTGCGGGAGGAACTTCTCTCGCGGTGTGAACCTCAGGAATCATCTCATCGTGAGTCACAAAGGTGTGAATCTGGTGTGAACCGGGAGTGAATCTGGTGTGAACCTGGTGTGAATCTGGTGTAAACCGGATGTAAACCGGGTGTGAACCGGATGTGATGGTGATGCCTCCGTGATTTTATTTTTTTAGTTCCTGTGGGAGCGTTAGTCATAACCAAGAATCTTAATTTATGGACTTCGCGAAGTCATTAAAGAGCTCATTCGTTACGTTCATTTCCTGCTTCATTTCTTTCTTTCGTCGGCCCTTCAAGAGATCTTTTCCTCGCCATCCATCCGAGAGGAGGCGGGGAGGCATTCGCGAGGCAGGCGATCAGTCGCTGTGCGGCTTCGCGTCGTTCGGCTCTCTTCATTCTCTCTTTTATGTATTCCGTGATTTTACCGTTGGGCATTTCTTTGTGTTCGGTCGTGAAGCCGCATCCGAGTTAGCTTTTTTTGCTCAAGTCGAATACATTTTGGAACAGCATACTCTGCCAAAATCAGTAACTAATTTTTTTAGGGGGGGGGGGGGGGGGCTCGGCTAAGAAACACATTTAAACGAATCTCCTTTCCCCCTGGTTACAGCACTACACCTACCTTCGACGGAAATTCCATAACTCATTTCTTCAGTCGTAAGATTTTTTGTAATTTCCTCGCATCCATCCATCCACTCAAGCGACGAAGCCAATCCTCGCCCTTTCCCTTATACGAGCAGAAAACAGGAAGCATTCTCTCCCCCACCCCCCTCATCCCCGCAGCACGCCACCCTCCTCAACCCCACGGAGAGAGCCGATAAGCGCGACCCCACTGAACCCCTCCCCACCCAGCCGACAAGCCCATGCAATCCAGTCTCGCGAGAGTGGAAGCAGGCCCATGCAATCCAGACTCCCCTCGCCCGGCGACAGGCGCATGCAATCCAGTCGAGCGATAGGGGAAGCAGGCCCATGCAATCCAGACGTGCCCCGCCACAGGCACACCCGCCCGCCCGACTCCGACTGGGATCGATCCTCAAGGTCAAGGTCGTTCTCTCCCTCCTACCGAGTCGGGAGGCATACGATATGCTTAGTCGTTCGGAATGCCTCGACGAGTCCGGACTCATCCCCTTCAGTGCTCGTGCCTTCATCCTTGGAGTATCCATGATACTCCATCCTATTCCATGCAGGAATAGGATGGTGCATAGGCCTATGTTATGCATCCTAAGGCTCGCGCATGGCCGAGATTAGGATATTTAAGTCGAGTCTGGTATGTGATAGGATTAAGTAATAGGCGCGAGAAGTTTCCGGTCTCTTTATATGCCATTTTTATGGCGACCTGTGCGAAAATAGTGAGTATTTAGCTCGGTTTGCTACTTTTTTTCCTTCCGCCCCTCGTCTGTTGCCATGGCAACCGCAGAACTTAACTGAATGCGCATGCGCGGCTTCCAGCCTGGACCGGAGCGGCATTCTCGTCGTCCGAGTCAGCCAGTTCCCTTCCAGCCGTCGCAGCGGGCGGGTTCGCTGGTGACGGGGGAAGGGTTGCCGGCCGAACGCGTGGAATCGTCGGGTGGGAATTATCGCGTCCAGGTTTGAGATCTTTAGCCGTGGCACATTGTGCCATTTTTACAATCGGCGAAATTTATTTTTTACTTTCCAAGTCGCACATTACCCTCTGGATCTGTGCATGTTATGTGGGACTCTGCAAATCCAGTAAATCTCTTTCAAAGCGGCAGACTCCAACGAATTTTACAATTTCCTCAATTTCGATCTCGAATATGGAACAATAATCCTAAATAATAAATAATAACAATAATAATAAATATAATTCTCACCCGACGAAGCGCGGCATTCGGCACCCTTCTCGTCGTTCCTCCAAACGACACGAACGCGCGAATCATTGAGGCCTTCCTCGAGTTTCGACTTGAGGTAAATCTGCTTTCGAAAGGTTCTCACTTCGTACTTTAAGCAATCTGCAATGCTTGCCTTTTTGTATGGGAATGATTCACCGCATGGACTTGTCACGTATGGTATGCCCTTGAGCAAGTCGCTGGAGCTCCTCTATGGCCGTATCCTTGACATTGCTTAATGCATTCGCTCTCTCTGTCTAGGATTGAATTAGCTTTCCTTAGGTCCTTGGTCGTATCGACACATCCGGAAGTAATTTTCAACGCAAAACAATCCGAAAATGCCTAATCGTGACCCCCAGATTCACTACACCAAGGTAAGACCGAGGTTTTCACACGTATCTTGAATACGCACTTCTCGATATGATTTATACTTTTTTTTATTTTCATGCCAACAGCTGTTCATCAACAATGAATTTGTGGATGCAGTGAGTGGGAAGACCTTCCCAACCGTAAACCCTTGCACCGGAAAGGAGATATGCCAGGTGGCCGAAGGAGACAAGGTGAAACGTCGCCCAAGTCTTAAGAAAGACGATGCAAAATTCTTCCAAGTTGAATCGTTCTTCCGACCTCCCTTTTCCCAGGCGGACGTGGACAAGGCGGTCGAGGCAGCGCGCGCTGCCTTCAAGCTGGGCTCGCCCTGGCGCACGATGGACGCGTCTGCGAGGGGGAGGCTCATGCTGAAGTTGGCCGATCTCATCGAGCGGGACAAGGATTATCTCGCTTCGCTGGAGACCTTGGATAATGGGAAGCCCGTGGGGGACGCGGCGCTCGACGTCGTCGTCTCCCTGGCGACCCTGCGATATTTTGCCGGTTACGCGGACAAGGTCCACGGGAAGACGATCCCTGTGGGTATGTGTCTCGCATTGGAATGTCGTCGTAGCGAAACTGACAAGGACTTGCAGCAGTCGGATGGTTCATATTAATATGCGATATACTAATGGAATTATGCGTAAAAATAACTTTCAATGCGAAAGCGGGAGATAAGGAACCTGGTTTGCTCATTTTTTTACCAGATGCTTCATCGTGTTTTATTGTCCCTGGCAAAATTTAAGTGGTAGTAGGGCAATTTGTCTTAGACCCGAAGGGGATTTCTTACCATTTTCTTTTCTTAACGGGGTGTGCAATCGTCGGTAGACGATTTCGTCGCCAGATCAAATCTGAGCTCAGAATACGTTGACTTATAACGAAGTCTGAAGTAGCTAGTCCTTATTAAAATTTGTGAAAGACGTTGAAGAGGACCTGAAGCCGCTGATTTCCGCAGACGGTGACTTCATATCGATGACGAAGCTGCACCCGGTGGGCGTGGTGGGCTCCATCGTCCCCTGGAACTACCCCATCTTGATGGTGGCATGGAAGCTGGGGCCGGCCCTGGCAGCCGGCTGCACCGTCGTCCTCAAGCCGGCCGAGCAGACTCCCCTCTCGGCGCTCTACGTCGCCCATCTCTCCAAGGAGGTAAGGAGGCTCTGGGCTAATTCGGCAATCGGACGATTGCCCTGTTTCGGTTGCAGAAGCGCCTTTCCGATGGTTTCGTCAAGGCAGACTCTTAGCAAACGATGACCTGTGGGCATCACGGTTTTCCTAATTAATAAGCGCAGTGGCAGAAGCAATTCTCGACCTTCCCAGTGACCATATGATACTTTCCGAAGTCGAGGAGGCGATTGAAGAGAGCGCGGTGTATCAGTTCTGAGTCCAGTTCAGGGGCCAAACACTACTATATCTTCCGAGCTTTTAGAGAAATTTAAGTGGTCACTTGAGGAAATTTTAAAGGAAATTTGTTGAGCTCTCCTTCCTTCGGAGCCAAACACGAAATTTATTGGGGGAATCTCAAAACTCCCCTAGAAACACCTCCATATATTTTCCTTGAAAGCAAGAAATTGAAAAAGAAATTCATCACGCGCCTCTCATCTCTACTCAAGTACTTATCCCACTTGACCCCTAGTACCAATCTCGCTTAAGCTCTTCCCCGTTTTCTCCCTATCGTATTTCCTTATCTCGTCTCTACACTCCTGTGACTTGGATTCCAAGTTACACAACTTTTCCCATCCCCAAATAAAGATAAGGATTTCACAAAAGAATCCCATCTCACTGCAATCGGAGCCTGACAACAACAAAAATTAAAAAAACCTTATATTCATGCAAAACAACTCCCACATAACCAATACTTAACCTTTTCCCCTCCCCCCACCAGGCCGGCTTCCCCCCAGGCGTGATGAACGTGGTCCCCGGCTACGGCCCCACCGCCGGAGCCGCCATCTCCCACCACCCCCACGTCGACAAGGTGGCCTTCACCGGCTCCGTCGAGGTCTGTTCCGCTTCTTACCTCTAAGACATTGTTTTAGCAGCAAAGTCATGGTTTCGCTTAATTTTTTTAAGTCATAATTTTCTACGATTTCAAAATGGATCTAGTGTTAGCAGTTCTAATCGGTCCACGATTTGTTTCGTTAAGGAAAGGATCGATTTTAAATGATTTCTAGCCGGTTTTCTAACCCGCAGAAAGAGAAAAGGTTTTGGTCGGGTGGAGACCATCCAAGTATATATCTCTCCCCGCTGGTTATTTAGTTTATCTTCCCTTATCTGTCAGCTGTTGCGAGGAGGAAAGAACATGGTAGACTCCGAAGGGCAAGTGGCTCCGACCATGTAAACAGAATTGTTGTTGACAGAAGGAAAACAAAATCACACCTCGGATGGAAGATAAAGGGAAGACCAACGAAATGAGTTCATAGGACATGCATGTTCAAATGCTACGAAATGCTGCAAATGCAAAATAATGGAAAGGAAAACAAGATTTTATTATCGGTAGAAGCTATTTCTAACTGATGGGAAAATTATTTACCAGGTTGGGGTTCTTTTGTATCTTTAAAAATGTGAATGCACCTTTATTGTATTTTGGTTAACCGGAGGTTAACCAAAATACAATAGCCAAATACAAACAAAAAAAATAAAATACAATAATAACCAATCGGTATTGGTAAGTGAATACACATCAGAGACTGGAACCCGTACCTATCCAGAAGGTAAGCCCCAGTCGTGGTTTTTGACACTATGAATCACGTCAGCGCTTTCAGAAGTATTTGATGCCTTAGTTAAATAAGCATTATTCGATTGCTTCGATCGTTGATCGACCATTGCACGCAAGAATTTAATCACCGATTGCAAGTATATGTAACTTTGAGGTCACACAACCGATATGTGACATTCCATGCCGACGAAAAACGAGACTTCGTCCCCCAAGGTCGGCAAATTGGTGATGGAAGCTTCAGCGAAGACCAACCTGAAGCGGGTGACGCTGGAGCTGGGAGGGAAGTCGCCGCTCGTCGTCTTCTCCGACTACGACCGTAAGCTTCGCCTCTTGTCGTCGATTGCTCGGTTCGGTCGTGTCGCTCGCGAGGGTCGCCCTGTCGCCCCGCAGTGGACGAGGCCGTGTCCATCAGCCACGACGCCGTCTTCGTGAACCACGGCCAGTGCTGCTGCGCGGGATCGAGGACGTTCGTCCAAGCCGAGATCTACGACGCCTTCGTGGCCAAGGCCAGGCATTTGGCGGCGAGCCGGAAGGTCGGGGATCCCTTTCAGGCCGACACCGTTCAAGGACCACAGGTCGGTACCACTTTTTTCTTTCGATTGGGATTCCTTTGGTGAGATCTCTTGCTTCGGAACGTTTCGTACTCTCTAACCCCTTCCTGACAGTAACAGAAACTCTGATTGCTCAGAAACGTAATGTGGAAGCCAAGGCGGAAGTCTGGAAACACTGGTCTCTGGTTGCTATCGGCAACGCTATACACTACTTATTCTCTCTATTAAATATTTATTTGAATGGAATATGGTAATCCTCCAATTTTTTTTTCTCGGGCTGTTTTTTTTTTTTTTGGCTGCCATAATTCAGGTTTTCGACTGTCATATCTCCTGGCGGAGCAGAAGCGGTTACAACTTCCCTTGATATTTCCGCAGATACCAATTAGTGCCAAGCTCTCGCTAATAAACCAGGGGATACGAAGTGCTTCAACGTGGGTCCAGATCAATTATTACCATTTGCCGATCAAAGTGAAACCCCTTGACAATTGCCTGGCGAGAGATTGCGTTTGTCCTTAGCCTTTAGAATTTAATTGCTTGCCGGTTTCTCATTTCATTACTTTCACATCCGAGAGACAGGAATACGAAGATATATCGTCGGGTGGGGTTATTTTTTTTTTAAGCCCTGATTTATTATATATATTTTAACCACTGTCATTTCGTGTCACTTCGCATCGTCAACGAAATAATTTTGTTGACGTTGCCGGTCGCGCATTAACTTAGGAATCTGCAGATTTAGCATGCAACTCTGCGAACCCATGATTTATTTTGTATTCCTGCCGCTCTGATGAATTTGACGCTTCCCAATCTTTCAGCCTTGGACATTAAAACGAGAAAATCTTCACCCGACGATGCATTGGATATTATTTGAATTACGTGTAAAAGGCACAGGCTCGCTTCCCCACGGCAGGTGGACGACGAGCAGTTCAAGAGGATCCTGGAGATGATCGAGTCGGGGAAGAAGGAGGGCGCCAAGCTGGAGTGCGGAGGCGGCCGCCACGGGGATGCGGGCTACTTCGTCCAGCCGACGGTCTTCTCCAACGTCACCGACGACATGCGCATCGCCAAGGAGGAGGTCTCGCCGTTTCCATTCGGTCGATTTGTGGGGAGGAGGTTCGGATTTGTGGGGAGGAGGTTCGGATTGCTCGTGGATGTGTGGGTTTTGCTTCTGGGAGGGGGTTGGGTTATTTGCAAAAGTGGAAAGCCGGAGACTTCGATATGCAGAATTTTCTGGAAACCCTTCTCGCTTTATTCCAGAAAAGTTCTCATGGAAAAAGACCGAAAAATAGTTTTTCGAGAGGTCAATGATAAGGGGTTCAAGGGCATGGAGCTGCATGCTATCTAAAAAAGGCCACAAATAGCAGGAACTTGACTGTGCCAATTCCCATATTTTCGGCAGATTTTCGGGCCAGTCCAGAGCATAATAAAGTTCAAGACTCTGGAAGAAGCGATCGAACGGGCGAACTCGACGACCTACGGACTTGCTGCCGGCATCATCACCAAGGACATCGACAAGGCCTTGGCGTTCGCCAACGGCGTTCAGGCCGGTTCCGTCTGGTAAGACGAATCGCTGCTCACCGTCCAAGATTATTTGCTGCGTTTGTGGAGGATTCCATTTAGTATGTGAAATTCCAGGATCGGAATTTAGTTGCATCACATTGGAAGTATTGTATTATCCACACGATTTTTTTTTTTCCTGAAGAGGCAAGTGTCTAGATCGTCTGAAGGAAAAGTTTTAGAAAAAGTTTTAGGTGGTCTCAAAATTAACTTTCTCCATGCATCAAGTGGATGGACCGAGTCTCTTCCTCTTCGAAGCAGTCCCTTATCGCAGTGACCTTTCCAATGTCAAGGACATTGCAATGAGAATGCGGCAGCGACGGCCAATTTTTGGCGGCCAATTGGCACATCTGCGGAGCGCTGGCGGGACAGCCGCTTCCTGATGCGTGGAAGGGCGGAATTTTTTTCATTGAAGTTTCTATGACTTGTTACTCTTTACAACGACGTTGAAACTTTCCTGAAGCGAGTTTTAAAATTTACTGAGTGATCTAAAAAAAATGTAAAACTGACTTTATAGTTGGTATTTATAAAGTCTCAAACAGGACGCTTTTTTTTGCGCCACTCTGTTGAGTGAATGCCATACGTGGAGTCTAACAGCACAACCTAGAACAATATTCCTAAATTTAATAGTCTCTTTGCAAGAAATCGTACGTTTTGACACTCCCTGTGATGCCATATAGGGATTTGGAACTCGTGGTATATTGAGTATGGAAAACCGCATGATACTTTGCGGGTTTTGCTTCTTTCCTTCACGTACTGCAAAAATCACCATCTGTGTTCACTGAAGATTTTGCCATTTCTGTGTGTTGCTCATGTTGAACCAAAGAGACTAACTGTGATCGCCAGGGGTATCTCATGTGAACTGGTATTGAGAGGGACTCGAAAAATGTTCTTCCACACTTGGGCGTCGCCAAAGGGGGGGGGGGGGAAGCGGAAATAATTTAAAGATTTCTGTAAACTCGCTGAAAATCTGAGGTGGCGGAGTCTGCATCTGTGAATGTTCGTTTCGCTTTCCAGGATCAACTGCTACAACGCCGTCGCGATCCAGGCTCCGTTCGGGGGATTCAAGCAGAGCGGGCACGGGCGAGAGCTGTGAGTCGTCGTTCGGTTTCATTGCCGGGTTGCAATATTGCGATGGTGCGATATTGCTTCTCTCCTTGAACAGGGGGGAGGACGCGATGAAGGAGTACTTGGAGATCAAGACCATCACGATCAAGGTTCCCCAGAAGAACTCGTGAGGGGCGGGTGCAGAGGTGGATCGGGTGCAGGGGTGGGCCAGGTGCGGTGCAGGGGTTCAGATTATCGGGATATTGTGGGATTTTTTTGAAAAACCTGTTCGTTTGAGAAGAAGCATTTTGCAGAGTCTTGGTTTCGATTCTTTCCTTATACCACTCCGTCGTACCTTGGATATTCTAACTGAACCAGCTGGGAATAACGAAAAACGAACACAAACCGGATCCAGCATTTCATCGTTTGAGAACACGGAGAGAAATTTCCGGAACTCATGAGTGAACTATGAGCGCGATTTTGGTTCAGTTCGCTCGTTTCACTCATTCGTGCATCTGGGCGTTCCCTCCGGCCTTGGTGGAGACAAAAGTGGAAAGTCAGCTGGGAATCGACTCAGTTTTTCGTTCCCGGTCGATTCACCGAAGGACAGGGGAAAGTCGCTAATCTTTAATCTCCTGCAATCCAGGAGGGGAGAAACTACATGCAAGCGGAGACAACACAGCACGACAGGGCGAAACTATAAGTGGTCTCCTTACTTTCTGGAAAGTGGACTCGTTAAAACGACTCCTTTTACAACACAAGACAATGTTCTCTCTATTGTGGGCCCATGCGTCATCAGAGTGCGGCCCAATCAATCGCATACAGAACTGACTTCTTTGAAACATGCAAGGACGAAGCAAAATACAACCCCCCCCCCCCACTTTCCGCAGCCAAAGAGATTTCGCCAAGCTGTTTCCACAGATGACCCAATACAAAAAAAATGTTTGGATTGATACAACGAGAAATGTGTCCTCTAAGTTGTTTGGGATGCGCCATCTCCAGATGAAATTTGAAGTGAACCGCGGGTTTTTTTAATGCGCATCGCTCGTTTCCTCTCCCACGACTGCCGAAGTTCGAGGTCGAGATTGACCCGATGGGTCAATACTTCATATCATGTATTGGCATCTGAAACTACTGTCCTCCTCTCCAAAGCGTGATCCGCGATGAATTCATTGGGTTAGGTGACGCTTAATCTGCGACCGGCAGTGGCCGATCGAGTTGATGCATTATGGACATTTTGTACTGGTCGAACGCTGATGTGGCATGCTATCTAGAGCTATCTTGACGATATCGATATAGACACGTAATTAACTCCATATACGTGAGTTTCATACATTTGGAAGAAGAAATGGATAGTCGTTGATGGACCAATGAAGAATGAGAGTTCACGAAGAATGCATTCTTCGTGAACTCTCATTCTTCATGAGAAATTCTTCATGAAATCCCATAAAGCAAACTCCCACTCGACCCGTTTCACTTTCCCGACCTCCAGTCTGGGAGGATGGGCTAGGAGGTTCCATGCGGCGAAGTTTCGAGTGGAGGTCGGAGCGGCCCCTTGAGAAACCGAAGAAGCCGATGAATGACCGACGGAAGGGGAGGAATGAAATGAAATGAAATGACCCTTGAAATGACCCTTTATTAGCCTTGGTTCGGCCCGTCAGCACAAACACAAAAACAAAACAAAATATACTGGTGTCACAATTCTACAGGAGGCTGGTTTCTGATCCCCCTCATAAGGAAGCTGTTTTTGAATTTGGTAGTTCTCACTTTTGGGTATATAAACTGTTTTCGAGTTTGGACTCCACCCATGCGAAAACATCTACAATAGTATGATGACAGCGGGTGAGACACATCACTCCTCAGGTTGGCAAGAAACGTGTCTCTTGTAAGTTG